TTTGTGTAAATATGTGTAGATTGGGTCAAGAACTTCTTGGGTTTGATGAAAATGGGGGGGCCAGCTGTGGGTACTGCAAGCAAGCAAGCAAGCAAGCAAGCAAGCACTTGGGATTCTGCCAACTTTTTGCAATCCTGCTGAGGGGATCTGTTTGGAAGGGTTTCACTTCCGACCTTCCTGCCATTTCAGCTTCTCGTTTTGCACACCAAAGTGCATGCGAAGGGTTTCATCTCACAACTGTCTGATAGAAGTGGCATCATATCTGGACTATACAATTCAGAGGAATACACAGCCCAACGAAGATATCACGTGGACCACCAACCCTTGACCAAACCGGATCTTTTGGTTCCACCGCTCTTCCCAGCGTTCTCCGCACTGCACTGAATTCAGTGAGGTGGCTCTCGATGACTTGTTACCGGACCCCAATGACATGCTTGAGCGTGGGAAGGAATGAGGAACGAGCTCCTTCGCTGAGTTCGACAGGGTCCCTCGGTCCCTTTCTTCCGCGCTTCCATGGTGTTTCCATTTCCATGTCCAAAAGAGCTGCTATTCCTGTTTTCGATTTTTGACTCTCAAACATCAAAGCCAAAAGGAAGAAGGATCAGCCTTGCTGGGCCAAAAATTGGCCAAGCAACAGCGACGCACCTCCCCAAAACGGCGGCGGAGCGGGCTGGCGAGCGGGCTGATGAACGATGAGCGGGCGTGCAGCGAGGTCCAATGTCCGTGGCTGATGTGCCCTGTGTGGATGAGAGGAAGTGGGTTTCTTGCTCCCGCGCCGATGTCTCTGCAGACGGAGTGTTGGCCCCATTGAAAATAGAGTCGGCTGACGGGATGTCCTATTCAGAATGCACACATCCATTTTTTTTTGCCAAGTTGAAAGGATCTCCTTTGGTGTTTCGGGTGGGTAGTCTACCCACTTTTTGAAGATCCGATCTCTAGTACTCGGATCAATTCATCCCCCCAAATCCCATGTCTCTGAAGCATTGCATCGTCCGGAGATCCCTCCAGATCGATTCTCCAGTCCCGCAGCAGCGAGGTCGATCCTCCCTCCTGGCCGTTGCTGTGTTGGCCCTCCTGGGATTGGCTGCCATCTCCTTCGTGAGTGTGGCTGGGACCAGAGGTCAGGTGTTTGGAAGAACCCTGGAAGAACATGGAAGAACTACTCACAGAACTACTCACAGAATCAAAGAATATCCCATTCTTTTTTTGTTGGGCGGTCCCTTTTTTTTGACCTTTTCGTCCAGCTAGGGCGAGCTAGGGAGCTTGATCTTTCTGATAGAGAAACACCTTCAGACTCCAACGAAGCGGACGAGGAAGATGAGTTCGCTCTGGGAATTTTGTTCGGTGGGCATGATGCTTTGTAAGAATAGCATAGCTCGAATCACCGCCACCGGATGTTGGGTGTTTGTGGTCTTTGACAGATGTCCAGACTTAGTTAACCATGGATCACTTGGTACTTGGCTGCAGTGGGAGAGCTCCTTCAAGCCCACAAGTCTGAATGCAGAATCTAAGCACATTCACTCGCAGTTGCCATGGCTCAGCTTATTAACATTTACCCTACCAAAGGCGATTCCTTATAGCAGGGAACGTGTGGATGTAGACAACCCAGAACATTCAAAGGGCAAAAAGGCTGAAAGATACGATAAGATAAGAAGGCAGTTCTCACAAAGTGCCAGAGGTCTTTTGATTATTTCTTGTTCGCTGTGTTTTCCGACCCGTCTGCCCTGATGTCCAAGGAGCCCGCACCACGGGCAGCCCCAGAGTCTCGGGTCACTGGCAGCTGGCATGAATTCATGAATTCATTTAGGGCTGCTGGAAAGGGGAGGGGCCTCCAGCCTAATAGCAAAAGGAAACAAATGCGGTGGCCTCCATCCTAGTAGCGATGGCCTCTGAATTTTTCTCGTGTTGAGAGATGATTCCGCCCGAATGTCAGACTTTGTGGTTGAGACTTGTAGAGAAGGTGGACGAGATTCATCGGGAAAAGTGCCAACTGGTCGAAGCAAACACTGGGAGTCCAGGAGAATCATTTCTAAAACGGTCTCATTGCTTTTGACAACTCGAAAAGGTGTTCGTCGTTAACTATGTTTTCTTTTTTTCCCTGACCTTTTCAAGTCCGTATTCTTTTTTTGCGTAGAAAAGCAAGATTTCTTTTTACAACAAGTGCTACAACAATCCTTTCTTGTTTTACCGAATGCCTCCGTTCCCAAGGCCTCACCCGCGCTGAGACCGCCTTGCTGGGTGCAGCCATCGCCGCGGCGCCCGAGGCTCCCGGATGTGACGTCAGTTGGCCATGGTTTAGCCGAGGAATGCCATGAGGAATGCCAGACACTCTGGCGCTATGGGCTTTTTGGTATTCTTGTCTTTAGCAGTTTGTCTATTTGATTGGCTTTGTGATGCTTTGTGAGGGAGCAAGGGTATCAGGGTATCTGCTTGTTTGTGCATCGCCGCTGCTTGGAAGCGTTGTCAGCTTTCCGTGACCGTCGACCCCGTGTTTGCCCCGTCGTGACCTGGCTGTAGCAGGTGGCTCATGCTGGCAACTCAGGCTGGGAGCTCGGATTTTCGACCACATCCATGAGGGGGAATGTGGTGCATGATAACAAGGTTCAACCTATGGCGAGAATCAACAGAGGTTTCCAACAATGGCATGCTGATCCTGGTGGTCTTGGGAGATTTGATGCGACTTGATTTCGCAGACACTTTAGCGTTTTCACGGTGCGCTGAGCCGCGGCTATGCTCCGATACGCTCTGCTTGCCAAGGCTACGCCCTGCTTCAGTTGGGCTGGGCCATCTTCATCATCAGTTGGACCACCCAGCAACCTGCTTGTGGTGTTGCCACATCTCTAGGGCTGTTTAGAAGTCGGGCAGTTCTCATATGTCATATATGGCGTGTTGGAAGACCTCTCAAGAAGCCGGAACGATAAAAACAAGACGAAGATGCTTCCATTCCTCCGTTCCTTTCAGGAACCAACGGTCCAGCCTCGGCCACCGAAACAAAAGGCTGAAGAGTTCCATCGAGTTGAGTTCCGAGTTGAGCCTTGCTTCAACCGGAAAAGGCTCGCTTTCTCCGGGTGGTTCAGGTCTGGGCCCTGCGGTGCTGTTCTGGATCTACTTCAACAAGCCAGAACTCTTGTAAGGCGAGCAGATGTCGACAGTCGCAGAGGTCGGAGGTAGTGCAGTGAACGTTTTGCCGAGTTTTTCGTTGTGAAATGTTTCGGGATGAATTAGGGCAGGCAAAAAAAGGGGTAAGAGATAGATGCAAGAGAGAGATACTTTTGTGTTTGTTGATATGAATTAATTACAGAGAAAGGTACGGATACCGTATTACGTGAAGATTTCCCGACTGTTCTGCAGGCTAGATTGCCAGAAACTAGACATGAAATCTACACCTAGGCGCCGTGACTTGCCACTACTTTCATCGATATACCAAGTAGTGACTTGCCAAACAACTAATTTAGGGTGGAATTAGTTAAGGGTCTAAAAGACATCCAAGCAGAGGAGCGAGATTGAATTGGTTTGGATTTACTTTTGGATCGTGGTTCAGGCGCGTAGGGGTTGCAGGTTGCATTGAATGACTATAACACCACGGTGAAATTCCTCTGTGGTGTGTCTTCGAGTTTATTTGCTACATTTAGATCACAGGAATAATATGGAATAATGCCCTATCATTAGGTTGGAGGCCATTGCTACTAGGTTGGAGGCCATCGCTCTTAGGTTCCTTTTGCTATTAGGTTGGAGGCCCTATGAGCCCTTGGACGTAAGGTTCTGATCGAATGTGGATTGAAATTGTCGCAACAGGGCATCCTACGATGGCCGAAAGGGCTCTGACTTTCTTAACCATAGTAAATGGCAGCTCCATTTCTACGTCCGGCCCTATCCGGGAATACAACAACAACTGTACAACCATTCCCCAGTTCTGAAACCGTTCTGTACAGCTCTACCGACGTTCGTTGTTCGCCGGTCGCCTCGGTGATCGTCCAGGGGGCCGCTGTGAGGGCTGTGAGGGCGCCCACCGATCTCCGGCGCGTGAAGACAGAGGAGACCCAGCGTTGGCACCACAAGTCAAAGAAAACTCGAGCTTTCTGGACCGTATACCAAGGTGAGACCGTGTAGTATGTCCCTTTTTCATTCTTTTGGTGGGTGCCTCTGTATGATCCCTTAAAGGTTCTTAGGACATAGAAGCACAGGCAACACATGTATGTAGAAATACCAATGAAGATCAATGAAGTCATTTCCTCGACTAGAAAAGGCTGCCTCACTTTTTCCGACGTAAACTCGCGTCCTGTTGGACACGTGTTCGCTGGGGCGGAGCTGGGAGTTTTTGGCGACCAAAAGTGGTGCTTCCTCTTTGTGCGAACGAACGCGGACGGGCGGTGTTGTTTTGGTTTCTGTTTGAACGGGCGGTGCGGGAGCAGCGCGGGCAGTCCCCTCCAGACTGAAACCAATTTGACTGAGACCCGATACTTCTGCCAATTCTCGGTCACGATTGGTGAGGAACAATGCACATGTCTTATTTTAGAGAAGAGCTGTCTAGGCCAATTGCTGCAAGAACAGAATTCTGCTTGGAGGGATATGATGTATGGCCTGCTGGAACTTAGGGAATCTGGGAAGATCTGCTAGTGCAGAATAGCGCATTGTTTGTAAAGAGGTATGAATGAGAACACGATGTGAATTGCTCGGGGTGACTTGCTTTGGCAATCTTGAGTAGAATTGTGATGCAACAGTCTCCTGTCAATTGTATTTTGCTCCACAGAGGAGGTCATTCAATAAGACCCAGCAGCGCGATCGCCAACACCAAGTGTTGCGAAGTTTTGTGTTCTTGTTTTCCTTTTTTTTAAATCCAAACCACCCCAGGACGCTTTCTCGGGGTTTGTCGTCTATGAACCCCTTTACCCGTGGTGTCAGTCGTGGTCTTCTCTCCTTGCAGGACCCAATCAGGTGATCTTCATGTTGAAAAAAACCAGTGGCGAAGCATCAACAGACGCGAAGCGGCCCTGCGCCAGGTTCAGTGGAGCCTCGGGGACCAACATGTCCGGGAGACCCAGCTTGATCCCAGCAGCTGACATCCGATGCCCCGGTGATACCCCTGGCGTGGCTGAAATCCGAGGCCAGTTACCAGGTGCAAAGGTATGCTCTTGTTTCTTGGAACGGCGCTTCGATTGGGTCTTGGACGGGACTTGAGAATGGACTTGCGCTTCCCATGTTTTTGGAGGTCTTTTTATTTTATTTCTTTTCCGGACTGCCTTTGCACAATTGGAGGCGTTTTCATGCATCAATACTGCGGGTGCATGCACTGGGGTGCTGAACAAAAAAGGAGGGAACCCTCCGTTGGTTCAGCAACGAATGAGCACAGGAAGCCTGGACTCAATACATGGTAAATCGAGAGCCCTTGGGCCGTTTTGTCCCAAAAACTTCAGCCCCGCTGGCCGAGCGGGATCAGATGACTCCGGTCTGAATCCGATGGCAACGCGGTGTCGCATCCGATGACTCCAGGTGTCCCTGTGGCGTATCTCCGTGTGTGCCTGGGATGCGATCTTGAGCTCGGGGCCCCACGACGCTGCGCCCTGCGGGACTGCATCGGTGTCCCTTTTCGACGCGAGAAGACGGCCACGTTTGGATGCCACAGTTGATTTGAGACTCATCATTTGCTACGAACTAGTAACTAGTAGCTTCTTGTTACGTTCGTAGCGATGGCCTCCAACCCTCTTGCGATGGCCTCCACCGAGCAGAGCGTCCGAACGCTACTAGTCGCAGAAATCCGATATGGGAAACATTTCTGGGGTCAACTTATTTAAGCTTTATTGTGGCGGATCCTTGTCGCACCTACCTTCACTATCACATATCAGCGAGGAAAAGAGCTGGCTGCATCAATGCCCTGAATACAATGAACCAGCACCTGAATATGATGACATCTACTTTTATGTCTCCGTATTCAGGGGATATATCTTTTCCATGTAGACATGGGCCCGAACTCTTGTGTTGGCGACCCTTCACCCATGGGTGGGGGTACGAGAAGCAGACACTCTGCAGCAAAGAACCCAAACATGCCCCAGTATCTCCAGAGCATGCGAGTCTTGCGGAATACGTATGGTCTTCAAAAACAAGCAATGTTATAGATTCCACAAGCTCCTGAACTTCGACATTGGTGCTCTGGAGGAAAAAGTATGTTCCCCAAATCAGATGGTCCAAGTCAACATGTCTCTCCGCCTTGTCTTTCTCAACCTTCAGACTTGCTGTGGACAGTGCGTGGCTGCAGATTTTTCTCAGAGATTCAGAATCAGATCTCATCGGGCACCTGAACAACTCTACGCCATGGCGGTGATTCTTGGTATGGGCAATCCCCTCCTCGACATCTCGGCAGAGGTGACGCAGGAGAGAGAAACCTCTGCAGGTCATCTCTTTTTTCTTCGACCACGCAGAATGTTGTACATCTCTTGTAAAGTTCTCATCTCGTATGGCTCTTGTCATCTTTTGGACATCTCTTGTCATCTTTTGGACATGCTTCCTGGACAAACACCTCTGGGTAATACAGATCCATGTGACATCGCTTGGCAGATCCAGGTTTCCCCCCCAAGCAACACAGGTGCCTGGGGGCTGCTACGAGGTTCGCGTGTTGGGTCGCGTCTCTTTTTCTTTTTAAAACGTGGATGGCGAAGCAGTCGTCCAATGTCGAAAATGGAGTTGGGTTCTGCCCACCTGCTCAACTGGCACTGTGACACCACTCTCATCAGACTCTCATCAATCTTTACCCTCAGGCTGTATGATGTTACAAGTATATATATATATATATGTACTGATACCAGCAGTCTGTCTTTCTACATGTTTCAATCGGACATACACATCTGTCCAAATAGGCCGCATGGCCTGCGCCGGCCTGCGCCGCGACCTTGCGGGGCATTGCCAGGAGACCTTTGACAAATATGGCTTGGTCCCAGGAAATGCGATTTTGGCGGAAGACAAGCACCAGCCTTTGTTCAAGGAGCTTGCAGCCAAGCCAGATGTCCTTTGGCTTGAAGCGTTAAAGGAAGGCGACCAAGATGCTTGAAGCCATCACGAGTTTCGCTACAAACCATACATAGCCTAGCGGCTTCCTTCAGATGCTTTGCCTCTCCAAACTGCTTGGGATGGTCGATGAAGTCCGCCAGTTGGGAGCCCAAATCAGATCCCAACTGTCTCAACTCTGAAGAGAGAGAGAGAGAGTGTGTATATATATATAGTCACTGTGGAGAACCATGGCCGTCACGAACATGTGTATTGCAGTAGGGAGTACGAAACCAACACGCTTCTTGGTGGATGAAGGTGGTGGCTCGCATACCGAAAAAAGATGTCGCCAGGTGCTCTACGTGGCTGGTGGAGCCACTCAGAACAGCATCCGCGTGGCGCAGTGGATGTTGCAGGAGACCCTCTCTGGCGCGTGGCGCGAACTTGGCTTTGAGAAACCTCACGAGATATCCAAGCAAGCCACTTGAAGATGGATCTTTGCTTGCCTGCTGTTTTGATTTTTGGAGGACGGCTTCTCCACATGGTCTAGGAAAACGGCACATCTTCCACTTGCTTGGAAACCGTATGAGCACAAAGAACTGCACGGCTCCTAAGCGATTCCAGATGACCACGAGGTCTTTTTTGGGTGTATGTGAGCTGCTCTTGCAGTGCTTTACATTGTCATCATCATCTCACACCCTTGTCCTCAAACATGTTTGCCAGAACTGCGGTAATCTGCGGCATATAGTTGCACAGAAGCCAACGCCAAGCACACCTTCAAGCATTTGTTCCGGGCCAATCAGAGGTCATGAGTTTCTCTACTTTGGTTGGGCACAAGGCAGTAGAGCTAATGTGAGGACTGTTCTCCTCATTTCACACAATTCTGGGATCGGCATTTGCCGCAGAACATTCCACAGGCAAATGTATGTACGTGGAGTTGTGATTTGAACACACTCTGGCTCATTGCTAGAGGTATGGTCTTGTTTTGCCACAACTTTGGGCATGTGAAAGTGCCTGTGCCAGATCTTCTCCAGATCTTCTTCACTCTCCTTGTCACGCCAGGAACCCGGAAAGACAGCCTACATGGGCTGCATCGGGGAAGACGAGTTTGGCAAGAAGCTCACCGATGCATGCAAGAAGGCATGGTGCTCGGGGTGGGCATACGGTGTCCGCGGATGCTGCCGGGACGGCGTCCGCGGATGCTTTCGGGGCAAGCCATCTGGTTTCCGAAAAAAGGCTTGCAAGCCTTGATTTAGATGCAGCATCAAAAGCGGCCAAGTTGAGCTTCGGGATATTTTGGGATGAACTCTTCAGGATCAGCGACTGAGTCGCCCGTTTTTCGTGGGGGAGCGGTTTTTTTTGATTGCGACGACACATGCAAGACTCGAAAGCGGCGTGTGGAGTGGGTCGATCGCTGGACGGCGCATTCCATGGCAGGACGGCGTGGATTGCAAATACATGATTGACAAGACTACCCCGACTGGTGCCTGCGCTGTCACCATCATGAACAAGGCGCCTTTTGGGCTGGCCAACACGGCCAGCATGGGGGCTCTGAAACCTCTGGTGACTCTGGTGAAACATGGCAAATCAGGTCCATCAAGTTTTGTGGTTGTGGGGATTGGGGATGATGCCAAGCCTGCCAAGCTTTAGTTTGGTGCACCCATTTATATAATAGGAGTAGTTTGCTTTAGCGTCCAGCTGCATCGCGTCTTTGGTGAGTTACACCTTTGGTCGGCTTTACATTGGCTTCTCAACCCATTCAGGTTACTCACACAGTCTACTAGGGGCTCCTGGCCTTACTCCTAGGAGCAATGTCTACGAACGTAGTAGCGTTCGAACGCTCTGCTCGGTGGCCGTCGCGGTCGTCACCGCATTTGCTAGGAGCGATCGCTCACGACCAACTTGCATGCGGCCAACAACTACAAGGCGCAGCGGCTAAGACGATGGAAGGAGTATACAGCTATCTCCTAATTTGATGCTCAGATTCATTCGGATCGCAGGTATCCTGAAGGCACTGCAATTTGCTCTCCAAAGGAGAAACTTCATGTTGAAACAAAAGGCCCTCTTCCCCCAAACCAGGAATATTCCTAGCAATCCTTCAGCCATGCCTTTCTTTTAAGACTGACATATTTGCTCCCTTCGTTCTCCGTCTTCGCCGGCGACCGGAGCGGCTTCCCGACCGCGTTCGGCGTGGCTTCTCGACCCGACGAGGGGCGTCCTCTCCAGGTGGATCACCTGAAGGCCAACATGGCCACGTTGAGCGCGGCGAAGATCGTCTACAGCGCAGGCTTCTTCATCACCGTCTCCCCGGAGTCCATCGAGCCCCTTGGGAGTCGCAACAGTGGTTGGGAGCAGTTGTTTGGTGGTGATGGAAGTGACTTCCTGTAGGCACAACTTTCAATTCTTTTTTTCCAGTGATGATAGCTTTTGATGGATGGGTGTTCTTGATTCAGGATCTTCAGCCATGCTTACTGTCCTAGAACACATCATACGGCACAGAAGTTCGCCACGGTGTAAAGAATTTGCCTACGTCCTACGTATACTATGTGCTCATGCTACATGCCAGACATGTCGCATGGCACGAGCTGATTTTCCTTTACTTGGTGTAGAGTGCTAGGGCTTAGCGATTGATCCACTGAACATTTTGAGATACTCAGAGGCCGACTCAGGCTGATGGTCTCAGAGGGTTCCAGTTCTCGGCCGGCACAGGATGGCCTCCAACGAGATGTTGAAGACCGGTGGCACTTATTGCCTGAATTTGTCGGCGCCCTTCATCGTCCAAGTGCCTCCCTTCCGAGCCGTGCTGGAGAAGACCTTGCCTTGCTGTGCCTTGACACATCGGCTGAACTTTCTCAGTCAAGAAGCTACGAACGGGGCTCCTGGCATCGCGACACGAACGGAGCGATCGGGCGCTACGAAGGAAGGGGCTCCTGGCCGTACTACTAGGAGCAAGAACGCTACTAGGAACAAGAAGCTACCAAGTCCATCCAGACCTGAGAACTCTATAAGTCAGATCTCGGCAGAACCAGGCCCACCCAGCTGGTCGAACAAACCTGGTCACGAGGGGACCAGCCTGGTAGGTATAACGTTGTCCCTTGCCAACGCACAGAGAAAGCAAAACTTGTGGTATGGCTGCTCCCAAAAATCCAAACATGTGTGGCTCCCCAACTTTAGGATCCGAGGCTCCTTCTTTTCTGAGCACCAGAAGAAGAGCTCCGAGAACCGACGCGATCGATTCGATCTGAGGCGACTACCTCTTCGGCAACGAGACGGAGGCCCAGGCCTACGCGGAGGCCGTTGGCTGGGACACCCAGGCGCGGAGGGACGCACGCGCCCCGCACGGCTCGTCCGGTGGACGTTTTGGGAGGAATGAGAGTTGAAAGTTGTGGAGGTGCAGTCTATCGAATCTATTTTGTTCGTTTTACATTTTTTTAATGAAGAATGAATGGCAGCTTTTTTAATCCGTCCGATCAAATGTGGTGTCGATTGAAAAGCGCCAGATCGCCAGGACGTCGAATTCATTGCCACCCGCTTGTCCTTGGTGCCAATGGCAGGCGATGATAAATAGAGTTTGTTTTCTTTTTAGGGGGGGAAGGCCGCTAGAGAGGTAGGTAGCTGGTAGCTTAGTAGCTTGCGCGTGGAGGGGAGGTAGGCCGCTAGTACCTAGGTAGCTAGTAGTTTAAATAGCTACCTTGGACACAGGATAGCTCAAGGAAACTCCCCCAGGGCGGCGGGGAAGCTTCCTTGAAGAAGCGCTCGCACTAATGATTTGGTTCCTAGATTTTTAGGGACGCTCAACTACTAGTTTAACCACTTAACTATTTGAGGCTTTGCCTTCATAAAGCGCATTTTGTTTCCACTCTGGTAGTTTCCAAGGTGGTTCAATTCTGCTCTTGGTTGTGGA